GTGTGTGTGTATGTGTATGTATTGGCAGCCGCAATCGCCACAACAGACGCTGTGACTAAATGACTAACTGACAACCGCATTGAATGGATGCGAGTATGTGCGAGTGTATGTATGTGGGGTGGTTTATTTACTCGCCAAACAACCCCCAGCTTTCGAAATTATTTATTTATACTCATACGTGTATGTGTGTGTGTGTGCGTGGCTGTGCGTATGCGTGCTTTGGCTCAATAACATTTATTGAGTAAATTTCGCACCAGCTTCAGCTGTATCCTCCTGCTCCTCATTCTGGTTCATCGCTAAAACTGTCAACACGTCTACGGCTTCAAACATTGGGGCGGCAGCTTGTTCTCGTTGTTTGTGCTGTTGCTGCCAAGGGTGTGTGTTGTTGTTGCTGTTGCTATCAGCCCTATTGGCTATATTGTGCGCTCCAGCACTGCTTGTTGTTGGCTTGGCTTAGCATGTATAAGCGATTTAACGCATCACGAGGATAATGAAATTTTGATTATGAACCGCTTGGCTGATTTTTGGGCCACGACTAAACTGGGGGTATGAACTTGCGTCCCCCTGGCGGCCAAACATTTATCGCTATTAGTGTCAAGTATTTTATTTTAACGCCTGTCTCCGGGGGTTGCTCGTATTATTATATCTGTGTGTGTCCTGGAGGAAATTATGCTTCGGTTTGTGGGCAGCTAATTAACATCGTTTCGTTGCTTAACAGACAATTTAACTTGCAACTCGAGACGAATTAGCAAATTGGTTATTATAGCCAGAACTTTCCCACGACCTCTACCAATTTAAAGATTTTTCAATGTTGAATTTAAAAAACATAAAGTCAACCCATCCTTCTGCCTTTTTCAATAATAAATTCAGTATAATTAATCCAATTATGAAAATAGACAAATATACATAAAAACAAACCTTTAACCTTCTCCCTCCAGAAGAGCCCACGTTACTACAAGATCTGTAATTGCAATGGCGATCATCACTGTTCCATAGACATGATTTTATTTTAATTTTCGTTAATACATCATACAGATGTCATGTCATACAGATTACAAAAAAATATAGAGAATAATAATACATTATTTTTTCAAGCTCAAAGATAATAAAGCCTTAAAAAAAGGTAGAATAACATATGTTATTTGTTTTAAATAATAGTTTTAAATGTTTACAGATATATTAAAAGTAATAAATGCAACGTAAATCTGATAAATATACGATTTTTATACGATTCTCATGGCGAATTACTTACTGATATAATTTCAACAATTTTTAACAAGAAACTCAGAATCGTTTCAGTTTGAAGTAGTTTATTGCATATTTATTATAAAATATGCATAAAAAAATTTCTTGCAATCGTTTAGTAAACCATTAAAATCGGCCCACATAAATAGGCAACACCCACACACATGCTGCTCACTACTATCATGGCTCCCCAACAATTTTTCTCGGCCGTAGCTTTGACTAAATGGGCAACAAAATCTGAAATACACAAATAACAGCCGCAACGGGCGTGCACAGCCGAAAAAATTATGAAAAACTATCAAAACATTTACATGCGGTGGTTGCGTCGGCGATAGAGACGACATAGGAGCCCCCGCGTGGCCACTATGGCCATTTATCAACTGCCCAGAGCGTACTGGGCAAGCGAACGAGTGTTGCTGGTCTCGAAACGCATTTGGTTTTGTTGTTGCTGTGGTCTTTTCATCTTTTGCCGCAAAGAAAAGCTCGTGCAATGCTTTCAAAGACGCGCGGGGGGCAACAATGATACCACAAACACATATGCAGATACACACATACATATGCACATGTTAGCATAAATATACTCGTATGGATATGATGTTTATTGAAAAATTAATTTGCGCCTCGTTTGGCTTGCGCTGTCATTTGCGTATTTCAAAGCGAAATGAATAATGATGATGATGACGATGATTATAACTTTGACGCGTTTCGTCTTAGAAATTAATATTTGTAATTGGCTATAATTGTTCGTGAATACAGTGAAAAACGCTATCCAACCAACGGGCCGGCCATTGCAGCTATTTAAAGTGAAATTAATGAGGCCCCGCACAGGCACACACATTCAGCTGGGCATTTTGTTTTCCAAAATTTTAATTGAAAAGAAAGCGGCACTGTTGGTTTTTAATGAAGCGATGCCACGACATCGTGGAAATATTTTAATCAGCCGCACACAGCAGGAGCTTTAGGGTAGCGGGACGGAGAGTTGAATTGAGAAATAGAAAATTATACAGCATATCACTTGTTAATTGAGTTATTTTGTGATTGTGACTATTTGGATAATGAACGGAATGGAATCGATGATGTATTGGAAGGATGCATAGGATCACACTTTTATATAAAAACTCATAGCTTATGTCAAACACCTATTTCAAATACATAATCGCGTTTTTAACTTTTTGTTTTTGCTCGAACTCTTGTATCAAACATAAAAAATAGGAAAACAATCAATTTTAAATAGAAAATACTCTTACTCATAAATGAGCATGCAGTGCTGAAGCTGAGAAAGACACGTAAATTTAAATAATTATACCTAAATTTAGATTTTATCACTATTGACGTGAAAAAGTGTGAAGCTATTACATGAAAATGACGTGGGTTTAATTATTGCCAAAGTGTTCTTTTTTATTTAATTATAAAATATTTGTCCCACATTTTTTCTACTTTATTAACTATAATAATTTTATTGAATAATGATATTTCCGAACATGATTGTAAAGCAATTTTTAAACAGTGTTCTTAATTTAAAAAATAGTGATATTTTCCACTATTTATAGTATAGAAAAATATTAAAATTACAAAGTGGGGAATAACTAATTGAATACACTTACGATTACACTTACACATAATTGACGACCATCCATCAAGTGTTTACAGTTTGTATTTTTGTCACAAAATATATATATGTATACTTTTTTTTAGTGTATAGAAGTTATCCTCTTTAACTTTGAAAAGTTATGGTTCAGACCCAAAGTAACCACAAAACTAGACAACATGCCCTAATTTTGTAAATCGCTGGGAAACATTTGACTTTTAACTCCTGGTTTATGCCCTAATGTTGTGGTTGAAAATGTGCACCGCTTATTACGTATCCAACACAACTTTCAAGCCCTATTCCACCCATACAACTCCTACAACGATGGCTGGCAAACTTGCAACCCAACAATTTCACATAATAATCCTTAAAATGAGTTTAATTTGTAGAGTAAAATTATAACCAAAAGCTTTTTGGCTAGCACGTCCGGAGTGAAACGGGGACGGCGGGTGCTGGCTTTTGTGCTATTAATGAAATATAATGAACGTAAAACTTTGCCCTTGCCTTCGTCATCGTTGTTGGCGTCTCCGCCTCCGTCTCCATTCATGTGGATCTGTTGTACCAGCCGAGAGCTGCAGGATTTTGTGAAAGATCTGGTACCCTACACATAATTTTTGGGTGTCAGCATTTTGGATATGTTCGGACATTTTGCTTTATACTGCGGCTTGTGATGTATTTCGTATGCTGGGCCTGCGATTTATCTCAGCCGATAAAGATTTTACGGCTTATCATTGAGGTGCGCGTCGTAAACATAAATTTTTGTTCATACCTTTGAAACATCCGATAATATTTCGATTGTTTGATGCTCATAGCAGTGTGTAAGATGGGCCTGACGGTCCACAAAAATGCTTGTACCTAAAAAAAAAAAACAAAAACGCATAAAAACATAATTTCCTGCCAGACCAAAAACTGGGCGGAGATGCCATCCTTTTGATATGAATCAAGAAAGGCTGGCAAAAAGCACCAACAACCTTCTGAATTCGCTTTACATGATAATGATGAGATTATTATTTATTATATTGTTTTTTCTGTTGGGCCACAAATATCTAAAAAGAAAAAGAAAAAAGGTTCTGCCGCGCACTCCAATTGTGTTTTTATTAACTCGTTGGCCATTGCTCATACGCAACGTGCTCCGCTTGAGCACCAATTAAATTTATTCTGCTGCGCCCCCGCGAAATGACAAAAGGCCGAAATGAAAATGTGGAAAGTGTGGAGAAAAACCAAATTATGTGCTAGCCAACAACAACAACAGCAACAGCGGCAGTAAAAGCTTTGGAGTTCACGTAGACAAACCGACGTCGTCCTCCTCGTTGCCGTCCAAGGAGGAGGGGGGAGAAAGAGAATGCTATGGAGTCGCCGCCAATTACGTTGACAGCAGAATTTAATAAGAAGTTGCAGCAGCCAGCATAATAGGCAAATGAAGTCATGAATGTGAAGCTGTGACGTGTCAGAGCGGGACAACCTCATCGAGTAGGAGAATGAAACTGTTGGTTGCGGGTGGAGGAAGCTGAGCAGCGTCGAAAAACCCAAAGTGGAAATACAAACAGACGAGCTGTCGCTTGCGCCGGCCATACGGACATGTGGACGGCGACTGCTGCTGCGGATGCCTCTGCTTGTTATAAAATGCTAATACGCGCAGCGCGCCAGAGCAGTGGCAGCAAAAACGCTTTGAAGATTGAATTATTCAATAATAATTAGGCGTTGGAGCGAGACAGCCTAGAAAACGTGTGCTCCGAGAATAGTGCCGTCTCAACGCAACCAACACTCAACACTTCCAACAAAGCTGAAAAACTCACCACACTGGAAATGATGACATGAAAAAGAGGGCGGCGCAACGTTGAGTGGAGAAATTACAAAGGCAAATAAGAATAAAAACCCAACAACCGTGCTTGTGCATGTGAAAAAACGAAACAGTTAGGCCAATAAAAATGGTGTCGCCGCAAGGCAAGTGACCCCAAGAGCAAGCGAGAAAGCTGCTCGGTAAGCCGGTTTGACTGCCACAACCACCACCACCACCTCTAAATGCCTGTCAGTGTGAGTGAACATGTGAATGTGTGCGTATAGTTGAGAGGCAGAGGCAGCAGTTGCTGTTGTCGTCGTTCCCAATGCCTGTTCAGTTGTAGACAAGTCGTGATCTCAAGAGGACGTGTTCGCTCGCTCAGTTTGTGTTTCAAAAGTCGGCGCGCTCATCTTTTCAAGCGACGAGTTCAAGTGCACACACACTAACACACACATACATATACATAGGCGCTATGTGTCTGTTGTGCGTGTAATGAACGAGCGAATTAATTAAAAGATAATCAAAACAAATTAACAACACATATAATTTTGCAAAGCGCCCACGCTCACGCAAAGCATTCCACATTGCATTATTTAAAAGCGTCGAGCGAATTTAAACGATTTTACACAATTTTCGGGCGTTATGATCAAGTGCAATGTGTCGGCAATCAAACAAATAAGTAGAAACCCTTGAGTGACTGTGAATTACAAATAAACTGTGAATTACATTTAGTTGGCTTTATGTTAAAGCTTTCGAGTAGCGTCAACGCGTGCCCTAAATCAGTCACAACAACAACAACTACAGCAGCAACGACGAGTAGCAGCAGCAGCAGCAGCAACAACGGCATGACAGTCACTGGCCTGCGAACCACAATGACCAGTCCGACGGTGCCGCCAGCGCAAGCCGCAATGACTACGTCGTTGAGTGGCAGTAGCAGCAACAATAGCAGCAGCGGCAACAACAATAACAACAACAGCTTGACCAGCATCACGGGCAGTAACAGTGGCGGTGGCGCCGGTGTAAGTCCACCCGCAACACTGGTGATTTCGCCAAATGGCTCGCTCCATCAGCTGGGCAGTCCCACATCACCGTCGGCCTTGTTGCTGGCGCACCAGCAACATTTGCTCGCCCAGCAACAGCAGCTGCAACAACAACTGGCCGCTGCCCATCCTGCCGCCGCTCATTTGACAGCCAGTCAGCAGCATCAGCATCATCATCAACACACCCAACACCACCTGCATAAAACGACCTCCCGTCTGAGCAATTTCAGTGTAGCTTCCTTGCTGGCGGACACGCGACCACGTACGCCCACAGAAGCACCCACGAATTTGAGCTCCTCCGCGGCAACGTCGCCAGTGTCGCAAGGCTCAGCAGCAGGTACACCTCCGCCATCTATGACGCCTTTATCTCAGAGCACGGCGGCTCATCCGGGAACGCATCCAGCATTCCATCCCGCTACCGTTGCACATCATGCACATCTATTGCATGCTGCTCATGCGGCAGCGGCGGCCCATGCCCAACACCAACAACAACAGGCGGCCATGGCAGCAGCCGCTGCAGCAGCCGCAGCAGCGGGCAGTCCTCCAGTAGCCCATTTACCTGTTCATCTGCGCACCCATGTTCCCAACTCTCCACCTGCCTCAACCAATTCCACACCAAGCACAACGCCAGCAGCCAGTGCAGCGGTAACGAGTGGAACGCCCGCCCAGATCTCCTCCTCGGGTAGTTCCTCCTCCGCTAATACACCCGCCAAAAACGAACGCCATTCTCCCATGGGCAGCCAATCGGACTCGGAGTTGGAGTACGATGAGGATATGCTGCACGAGCATGATGTGGAGCACGATGAGGAAGAAGATTCCATTGTTGATATTGAGGACATGAATGCAGATGATTCGCCACGCTCTACACCCGATGGTCTGGATAGCAATAAATCGCTTGAGGGCAGTCAATGTGGCAGTGCCGCCTCTCAGATGCCTTCAACTATGCTCTCCCCTGCAGCTTTGGCCGCCTCCGGTCATGTGCCCATTCGCCCAACACCATTTAGTGCTTTGGCAGCTGCTGCGGTAGCTTGGGGTGGCATGGGTGGAGGTGTTCCATGGCCAGGCGCTCGTCAGATGCCACCTTTCGGGCCACCGGGTTTGTTTCCAGGCCAAGGATTCGGTGGAGGCGGTAAGTACCAATTATAAACTAATTATTAAAAAAAAAATAGCATCTGAGATCTTGGGATAGAGAAACAAGGAAAATATTGCCTTACAATTGTAAATCAATGGATTTTAGCAGCAGAGTCTGAAAATTGTTCATGACTTGTTCTTAGTCTTTCTAATACTATTAACCATTTGCCCTTTTTCCCATAAAGCGAAGACTATTGTTTTCTGTTGATTTAGTTGGCACATCCATGCCTTTCGTTTAGAATATATTTTGTAGTGGCTTTATCCCCAGCTCAATAGGTATCCGTATTTCAGATTTCCTTTAAGCATTATATAGTATTTCAGAGCCACAGTTTTGGTGTCACTCCAATTTCCAATCTCCATTCCATAGCCCTCGCAATTTCATTCAATTAACCGCCATGCGCGCTCCGTCATCGTCTGCCCCTTTAGATTCACCCTGATTGCCGTTAATTGGCAATTGCGACAATAACTGGCTGCGGGTGTTGGTCCGGGAGTCGGTGTCCCATATGCCATGTCGCCATTGCTGGACGCCTCGATATAGTCAAAGTGCGTGGCAATTATTGCGCCGCTTTAAGTAAAACAATGGCATTTCGCTGATTGGCCGCGACCATTGTCATAGTCATCGTCATCGCCATCGCGATTGTCGCGTCGGTTTTGATTTAGCTCAATTGCTTGCCTGATTATTCATCGTGCTGGTTTTGGTTTGTCAGTCGGCTCTCAGTTGCTTTCCGGTCTGTCTGACTACCCTCCAAAAAAGACAAAAAGTGGACAGCCAAAAAAATGACAGATTTTACCAGCCAGCCAGACTAATTGAAGCGAGTCTGCGATGCAATCAGACAGTATTGTCCATTACCTGATCTGTATCACTGCTCCACAAATGCACAATTCACACTTTTCCAACTCATGCACTTCCTGATGGTAGTCTGCAGCAAAAACGCCTTAAGTTATGCAGCGTAGAAAAACTAACTTGCCACACTCAGTGGCAACTTTGACCGTCGGCTCTGCGACATGTGAACTCTTCAGGGACTGACCAGCAAAAACATATCAGCGAACTTTGCATTTCCGCTTTAAAGTTGCCACAGCAATGGCCACAAAAAAATAAAAATAACAGTCAACACTTTTTTGTTGTTGCTGCCGCTACCTGCCGTAGCTCTTTTAGCTGTTGTGGCTGGTACTATTGTTATAGCCTGTTGATGGTGTTGTTGCATTGTTTTATATACTAACAGACAATCATGCAAGTCGCTCCATAATTTAGCGCAACACGCGCGTCTAGTGCAAAACCTCTACAGTAGCAATTAACAACAGTGAATTGTTTAATTTGTGCTTTTAAACTAACTTCGATGTGCCAAAAACGAAATTGAAATACCAGAACAGTAGTTTAATTTGTGTTTTAAAAAACTAAGGCATCGAGAAGAAGTGCATTTTGTCATTAGCTGTCAACTGGCGGACTAAGCACATAACTTTATTTAATTTGCCGAAAACAGCTGTCCTGCCCTTTTCAACGGCTCTGAACCTGCTACGAACCCATGGGTGCATGTGTGTGTGCGTGTGTGGATGTGTGTGTTCCTCAGCCTGAGTTCCTTGGGTTCTCAGCGTGTCTCATTAGCGCAGCAGGTTGCTGTCTTTGTGGACGATCAGTTCTGTGACCTGGGCCGCTATCAGCTCTCGCATTATGTCAAGTGTTAGGTACTTAGTGCCTGCCAAACAGTAGCCGTCGGCCTTTGTTCTTTCATTCTGCATACAGACATGTACGAGTATAACATACTCATATCTATCGAATTGGTCTCTTTAAATTTATCAGCACTCGGTTCGTTTTTGTTATGGCCTATTAAATAAAATGAAATGCTACAAACCGGCTACCATTTACATTAGATTAGATGCCCTTATTTTATGAAGGGAACACACACATTACATTTGTGTGTGGTCTACACTTTTTGCTCGATTGCAGCTTTAAAGTTCTTAGAATGATTATTTTTATGTTATTGTGGTTCGTGCAATTTTATTTACATTTTCGAGCAGTTAAAATTCCTGCCACTGAGCGGTTGGCAACGCAATAATTTAACTAATTGCAAGCGCAAGCAAGGCACGACCATATACTTGTACTCGTACATACTATATAGGAACCAGGTTGCAGTTGCAGCATTCCTCCATCCCTCGAACCCTTGGCTGCTTTACACTTGCATGCCATCGAGCAGTTGGCAGCCATTATAGAAATTAATTTTCAAGCTGAACAAACGAGCAACAACTTGGGAGTCATTGCATAAATATACAAACAACAACAGCAGCAGCAGCAAACACACACACACACACACACATACACACACAGATGCACAGGCGATAAAACTGGCACTATGCCCTGGCTGGTGGGTGTGGCATGTCAGCAACGCCCACCTAAACACGCAATTTTCGTATTGCAAATAACAGAAGCGGCTGGCAATTTAAACGTTGACAGACGACGACGGTCGGTGATGGTGACGGTGACGGCGACTAAGACTGAGGCTGGACAGAGAAGCCATTGCCTGGTCCTAACTGAGTGAAGAAGGGAGGAAGGGAGGTAAGGTGGGAAGGGAAGGGAGGCACAGGCCGATGGTTGCATGCGTTTTAACACCATTTTGGAGTTGGCAGCGCGACGAAGACGAGGCTAAAATAATATTTGCATTCTGCACGCCATCTAACGTACAAACACACACACATACACACACAGAGCGCACGTGTGCGGCAGGTGAGGCGTACGTGTGTGCGTGTGTTGAGGTGTGCTGGCGTAGACATTTTGATGTATGCTTTCGTAAATAAAACTTATTTGCATTAAATTACCAGGCAGACAAAGCCAACAGCAACAACAAGAGCAAAGGAGATGGAATTGGGTGGGGAATGGGGGGCAAGACAGACTTGCAATTGCAGCGAGGTGTTGCAGACACACGCAGGTAGACATTTGCTAAATATTTGTAGACAATTGGAAGTTCAACTAATTCGACTCTAAACAACGAACGAACAGGGGAAAAAAGCTGGTTCTTTTATCATTCATCTTTCTCTTTCAATTTATTTTCGGGCGCCAATTGTGGTGTATGTGTATATTTATACATGTGTGGGTGTGTGTGTGTGTGTGTGCGTGCATTCATCGAGCTGCCTAGCAGCCACACTTGTGTAATTATCTGTACAGCGTAAAGATACAGTAGCAGCAAAAAAATTAGCGCCCTAGAAACTGCAACTTGTCATAAACACGTGAAAGCTTTAGAGCGCAGAGCCAGCAAGGTGGAACCAAATAATCCTTGAGAGGTGTTAATGGATGGGCGATGGGATTGACTCCAGAAACAGCACTTCTCACGCGCATGCGTGTGCCAAGTCATACGCACACACACACACACACACACACACACTCTTACATATTTACGTGGGCTGACACTTTGTGGCATTCGTACGCAAGCGCAGGCACCTTATCGTAGCTTATCTTGCCAAGAGGCAGCCATTGGCGATTAAAAATGCACTTCATTGCAACTGAAAACATACTCCGACCACTCTTGCCCCTTCTGCTATTTCTTCTACTTCTGGTTTTTCATCTGCTGCCCCAACCAGAGGCTGCATAACCTGACATGCAATGTGACAACATTTAAGTGGGCTCAATAAAAAGGCAGCCGGTTTTTAGTAAAGGTGTTGTACCGTACTGTTGTTGCTATTGCTGTTCTTGCTGTTCTGGCCTTTGCTAATTAATAGGCTCATCTGCGTATGCCAGTCCCCTTTACAGTAATATTTAACTGATGGACTTTCAATTAGGGATGCTACAAATAACATAAATTCGGTTATATGCCATTCAATGTACGCAACAGTTAATTGTAAGTATTATTAGTCACTCACTCAATATCTACAAATAGGACCACCAAACTTAAAGATTAATGAAATAAATATACATCTTATGTACTTATGTTGTTGGCCTGAGCTGTGAAGGTAAACCCTGCATGAACACTGATTAGGTAAATTATTAGGTAAATACCACATGTGGTTATATTTAGGCAATTTCCACTGTGGACACTTCTTACTGGCCACACGATATATATGTACGTGTATACGTGTCATTACACTTTTTGTAGCATGCAGCATATTTGGTGCTAATTAAAATCTTTCATTATGAAATCACCTGCCACAATCAGCGGCAAGAGCGACCAACTCTGGTGAGCCCAAAGCAGCGCCCGTTTGACCGTAAGCGTGTAATTGCATTAGCTAAATACATAGCTATTTCAACGATCGATCGGTGTCAGTCCATCGTTCGTTCGATTGACCGGCCAGTGGATGTGTGTTGTCCCTCGTTTCCATTGCAAAATGTTTTCACTACAAATACGCCATTCGATGTTACGAGCATACAGACTGATATACAAACGTATGTACATAAATACATACTCGTATGTATATAATAGACGTACACACGCACATTGCTTTTACCTCTTGCTGTTGTTTTGCCTATTTGGCTATGCGAAAACGCTTTAATGAAGAATTAATTGCTAGCAATTTGCACCGCAAATCAATCGACGTCAACATTTGCTGCCGTTGTTGTCACTGTTGCTGTCGCTATATACAGCAGGCCAACCATTCAATTGGCTATGAAACGCTACGCGATACGCGTAAATTTCACAATTGTTGTTGTTGTCGTTGTTGCTGTTGCCTTCGTCTACAATACTCCGGAGAACTCAAATTAATTGAAAATCCATTACAAACATAGGCTAAATGTCACAATTGGCGTTTGTGGCATGTATTTGCTGGCTACACTGCCAACATTGCGACGAACGGGCCACGCTCTGTGCTACGATGGATTGCCCGAACACTTGCTGAGCGTTACAACAATGGCAGCAGCAGCAACAGCAGCAACAGCAACAGCAATGCCTATAAATGACCAAAAAGGCAAAACAAGTCTCGCACTCTTGTTTGGACGTGCGGCCGTAGGTCTGTCCGTTTGGCCCACTGTGCAGGTTTTGTAATAGCAAGTCAGCTATTGGGCTTTAGAGCTGTTTACCGATTTGTGCTCACTTGCTACACTTTTAGTTCTCTCTCGACTCCTTGCTTGTGTGTGTGTGTTGCAATGGAAACCCCATTCCAGCAATTTAGCGACAAATGAGCAATTAATTTTGAAATAAATGCAAAAACAAACAAACGGGCAAACGGGCAAACAAACAAAGCCGTCGGTAAGGAAAAAAAGAAAAAGAAAACCTGTTGGTACTTTATGGCGAGCCAAATGCGCTAATTGTTTGCCTGACAGCTGCAAGCATTGTTCAATTGGATGAATGCCAAAGATAATAATGAAAACATCTAGAAATATTAGCTTATTGCTGTGAAAATATGTAAACATGCTGCCAAAAATGTACGAGTATAATGAACATCGAATTTGAAATAGAAATCAAGAGTAATACTATTATAAAGCCTATCAAATTAAATATATGACAAAGCAAAAGCATCATAAAAAAGCTGTAAAGTTTGTTGTCAGTTTGCGTCGCACATATCGTTTATATGCTAATTTGCCAAATAATTTATAGGCATTACAACAAGAGCGACAACACAACAGCTCGGACTTGAAAACACCAGACGCACAGACAAAACAAAAGCAACAATTTTAAGAAATATACATATGGATGTTATGTAGATGGCAGCTTAACAAATTTTGTGGGCTGCTGCGCTTCGGCGACTCGTAGCTGGAATTCGAATCTTAACTGGACTGGGACGGCCCATCTTTATCAGCTTATGCATTTCATTTCGTTTCACCTTGTTAGGCCATACAAAACGTTTTTACGACTTCCATAAGAAACAACGTCAACACATATCCGACCACAAATACTGGAGGGAGGGAAACACAAATGAGAGAAAATTATATGCATACGAGTATTGCTGAGCAGTCGATAAGCAGTCCTCGGATGCATATGCACTGTCCATGCATATTAACATAACTTTGACATGTCACACTAATTACTTAATGAGCTGTTCAATTTGGTGGCCAAGCCAGAGATCGCAGTCTCGACAGCCACGACGAAAACTGGGCTTATTATAATGATTATTTTTATTCACATCGCAGCTCCGCTACACCGACTCTACTCATGTACGAAGTGTATACATGTTCGCTGCCGTCGAAGCATTTTTACTGTCGGACAGCTCCGACATTTATTTGTTTATTGATAACATAACGTGTCACAAAATGTGTGTGAACGATCAAGTGATTCGATGCAGATTACACATCTGCTGATGATCTCTCACTTGATTTGATAGCCAACCACTGAAATATTTATACACCTATATAGAATATTGCCAAAATCGCCATAAATTAAATGAAGAGTAGAATGTGAAACACAGCATTGTGAGGCTTTCTGTCACGTTTTCCTTACTGCTTTACTATGTCATCGGAATGTATATATTTGTATTTGTAGATATTTAGCTGGCAAGTACATTTCATGTTTCGGCTTTTGATGTGTTCGGTCTAGCTGCCTAATCACTCCATTGTTGATGTAGTATGCCCCATTACCAGTTCTGAAAAGTAATTACAAACAGCCTCGAATTTCTGCCGCCCCTCACTTTGACATCTCTCTTAATGCACATTTTTGTCGCTCGACAATTTCAATTTGTGTAATTATGCGTAAAATTAAAGCGTTGCATATAATTTGCATTATTCTTTATTTCCCGAATGAGATTTTGAAATGCTTTGTGGTCCTTTGCTGACGATATCTGTTGGGATATCGTGCTCTGTTGGGGCAAGAAAACGTTCAATAAATTACGCGTGCCAACTTGCCGGGTGACCCGAGTTGGTTGCATCTTTAAAATGCCATTTGCATCTTTGTGGTTTGTGCACTGAGTGCGCCCCACTGCACGTTGCATGAGCGAGCAAGCTCATTACTTTCATTAACAACACTCCAAGCGAATACCAACAACAGCAAAAGCAGCAACTACAACCACAACCACAACAACAACACCAACAGCAGCAGGCGGCAAGGCAGCTGCGCTTTATATGGCGTTCACGTTTTTTTCTTCTGTTACTTGCTCTTTCTGTTGTTGTTGTTGTTGTTATTGTTGTTGTAGTTGCCTGCCTTTGTTTGCCAAAACAAAATGCCCAAATTAAAATTTTTCATTTGATTTCGAAACGAAGACAGAGTTACACGGGGAAGGGAGACTAGGGGAGCAGTGGAACAGTGGAGTCGACAGATCGGCCGGCAACGAGAAGAGTCAGAGTCGCCTGCATTTCCGTTTCTTTGCAGCAGCCAGCGCGGTTTTTGTCTGACAAATAGTTTAGACAGCAAATTTATTGGCCACTTAAAGGAGTAATTACCGTTCGCTGTAGCCATTGCCATTGCCTTTGTTTTTGTTTTTGTTGTCGTTGCAGTTGCAACTGTGGCTGTTGCTTGCCGCTTTTAGCCATGACAAGGCCAAGGCTCGCGCGTTGGCGACAGTCTGCAAGCCACATGTAAAGTGACAGCATTTCATTCAACAGACCAAATGGCGCATGCAGTCGTGCCACAGTCCCCACTATTTCATTCCCCATGCTTCATTTCTGGCCCAGTCGCAGCCTCTTACCTAATTGATTTTCAATTGTATGCAAATGTCATGTTTCGGCGTCTCTTAATCGACCAGCAGCCAACAAATTTAATTGAGTTTTGCGCTTTTAATTGCTCTGCCGCTTAAAGTGTTGATGGAGACCCATTTAGTCGTCAGCCAAAGAACAACAGCAGCAACTAAATTCATTTGATTACTTATGTAATTGTCTCCTTCCCCCCTTTCTCGCTCACTGAAATTCGATGCAAAATAATTTAAAAATAAATAGATAATAACTGACTAATTCCCTCTTCCAATTTTATTTTAGATGCCAACGAGCCGCCCCGCATTAAGTGTAATTTGCGCAAGCATAAGCCAAATCGCAAGCCACGCACTCCCTTCACCACACAGCAGCTATTGTCGCTTGAGAAAAAATTTCGGGAGAAGCAATATCTGAGCATCGCCGAACGCGCTGAATTCTCTTCATCGCTGCGTTTGACAGAGACGCAGGTGAAGATCTGGTTCCAAAATCGACGTGCCAAAGCAAAGCGCCTGCAGGAGGCGGAAATCGAGAAGATCAAGATGGCGGCATTGGGTCGGGGGGCGCCAGGAGCACAGTGGGCTATGGCCGGCTACTTCCATCCCAGTCTGATGCATTTGGGATAAGTGGCGGCCAAGTTGGTGTGCAGCAGTCAGCGACACATCAGCAACACAAACAACTGTAACCAAAAAAATGAGCCACGGCAGATGAAAAATGTCGCCAACAGAGACGCTCACGCTCACGCCCCCGTTACTGCCTCCCCCACCACAACCACCACTACCACCACCTCCACCTCCATCGTGGTCGTCAAGCGAATTTCGTAAATTGGCGCCCCGTTGTGCATAACCCAAAATTTTGCTGTGATGTTAGAGCATTTTATTTTACGATACTTCATAACGTTGTTAAAAGTCGAATGCACTCTGTAAATAATGTAAGAATAGAGAGAATAAATTTGAGGGGAGATTTCAATTGTTTTAATACGTTTAGAACTTTGGCATTCTTGCCGAATTCCGTGTAAATACTTAATGCGAACAGAGAGAGAAAGAAAAGTTTCCTAAATGTACATAAAACTAAAAAGTAAAATATTTAAGTGCTTGGAAAAGATTTTAAAGACAGTTTTATTTCGTAACAGCAATTTACAAATTAACATAGGAATAATTTATTTGCAAAACTCAAGTCAACAAACCAACAACAAAATTCATACTGTGTAAGCCTCTAATTGATATTAAATGTACGAGTATGTATTGTATTGTATTTGCGATGTAACTTTGACTAAAAAAGCGTATTTAAAAATATTTTTAAGTACCCTAAAATAAAAATCTATAACTATGCCGTTAACTAGACATTAATATAAATACACAGTACGCAGCCCTATATAAAAATATAAACATATATCTAGCGCATACTACTACCATATAGCGTTAATCCTCTGTAGTTTTTTAAGTTGAAAAATAAAATTGAAAAAATTATTTAAAAAATCAATGAACAAATATACAATTACAGCTGAAAAAATTAAACAAAAATATTGTATTTACTAATTAAAGACTCGTGTAGATTGCAGTAATGATGGCGTAGCCATACTGCGCACAATCTTAACAACAACTACTGGGAGGCGAGTTCGTAGTTCGAACTTAGCTAATATTAGTGCAATTTAGTTTGCAAGAAATTACATATTACTATCTATAACACATTTGCCAAATCGAATTGTACCAATGTTATAAAAACTATGTAGCTGGGTTATTTCGAATGGCAAGGTAAAGATGAGAAATGATACTTTATGGGTCAATTAAATCATTAGCTTAAGTCGAGTATGAAAATGAATTAATTTTGGAATACATTTTATTATAATTTATTTGAGTTCCTCTTTTATCATCATATATACACATTCTAAACTATATATGGTAATTACTCAAGTAGTATTTTCAACATCTACTTACTTATGGGCAAATACTGGAAGAATGACACACATATTCAATTTTCAACACTCGATGGTATTGATTATTTGAAAACTATCAATTTATAGCACTTGGCATTCCATCAATCAATCTACATAATTGCTAGTTGGGTCGCTAAGCCCCCAGAAAATTAATGCAGTTCCAATTTCAGTGTCAGTGCCGCATTACTCATCGTTATATAACAGAAAACGCAGGTCCCCTTTGTAGTTGCACTTGAGGTGTGCTTAGTAAGCTGCATGCGCAATTTTAGCTTAAAGCTGGTGTTGTGTTTAGTAACACCTCTTAGAAATCACTAAAAAGTGGGACTAAGATTCACGCCATTCAGTTTGTATGTATCTGCAAAAGCTGAACCCGTGTTCGTCATCATACGAGCATTATGACATTCTTAATTTTCTGCTGTCTATATTTCGAAATTGGTAGGGCTCAGATTTTATGCCTTGTTATTGAATCAGTTGTAGTAGCTTTATTTGCACCAAATTAGTCTTAACATTCTTATTTCATTTAGAATTGTTACGTAATTCCCGGAGTCTGTGACATTCAATAATTTCACAGCCCAACTGTGCTAAGTGTGACACATTATTGCGATCATTTCAAGGTTTTCAACTAACTTCCAACTGAAACTGATTTGGCTTCCTTGACCGCCACCCACTGTAACACATCAACACTTCAGTAGTTCGAATTGCTTGGGAGGCAATCGAGTATTCAGTCGCGCAAAAGGCGCATTTAATTTCACAACGCAAGTGTAAAAATCAAAAGCAAGAAAGCTTATCAAGAGCCAATTAATATTTAATTAACCAGGCTGAGCGACGGGCGGCAGGCGACAGCTGACGGCCACGGGTGGCGCTGAAGCGCACACATGCCGTACACTTAGTAATGCCGAAGCTGTCTTACTTGTATTAACGCTTGTTGCCGAGCTCAAAAATATCTACATACGTACATACATACACGCATGCAATCAAATAAAGTACAATAACAAACAAATAGAGCTAAATGGAGGTTAAATGCGCGCATATATACTAGACAGATGAGCTACTTATAAGTACCTCGATTCGCAGATTATCACATTCTTGGCATCGATGTGTGCGTGTGTGTGTGTCATAACAATTTTTATTTCTTCGTGATTTGTCGAGTGTCATCGGGGTTCAATAACAAATTCGAATGCAAAACGATTTGTGCGAATGCGGAATATATACAAGTAGTATGTATACGTGTACGAGTACATACAAGTGTACATACATATATGTTTATTTATTTGTTGACAATGCGCGAGCATCAGTAAATCAGTTGATTTTCGTATTGCTGGTGTTGTTGTGATAATTGTACAGTTAGCAGTTTACTCTGCTTATCGCGCTGAATTAAAACCCAATTAATTTAATTACAAATGGAAATAACACGTCGCCGTCCACAACGACATCAAATTTTTCTTGCCATTTTGATTTATTTGCCATTTGTAAACAAGCGTATAATATGCTTGTGTATGTGAGTATGATGTGTGTTTGTGTGTGTGTGTTTGTTTGCCTGTCTGCGTAATAAATAAATTAAAACATTATTTGCCACATGGGCGTTGCTGATAAGCGACTGGCGCAATTGAAACTAAATTTGTTAACAATTAAAATAAGAGACTCGGCTCGGCTCTTTTGTATATATTTAATTAATGAGTTTTGAATTCTACACTGACAGCCGACGGCTATGCCTGAGACCGCCCAGCTCGACATTTCATAAGTTAGATGTAAAACGAATTAATTAATTGTGCATTATTGTTATTATTATTATTGTTGTTGTTCTGAACAATGTACATTGATAAATCCATTGCCACTGCCATGCAAATTAACAGCAAAAAGCTGAGTAGCCAGCCAGCCAGCCAGCAGAGTTTTCATTTTATTTATATGATTTTATCACGAATGTCAAATCGATTGTCGCCACAATTAATTAGGCGTATATAATTACGCTGCAGTCTGCGTTGGCGCCGACGCCGATGCCGACGCCGACGCCGTGAACAACTTCTCCTTTATTAATTAGTACAGATACGCGGCCCCAGGCAGCCACAGGTGGCACGCATGCAAAACAGCGCAACCGCAGTTGAAGTTGCTGTCCAAGGGGCAACGCAACATGGAAAGTGCAACGCGTTAATCAAAACGTAATAAAATCATTTGGCAAAAGGGGAGCCAAGGTAGAACCAATATTGAGCGAACGCGCGACCAACAACATAATCAAAAGGAGGGCCATAGCTCCACACACGTACGTACACACAATCGGAATCAGAGACACACACTTGCACACACATTTGTCTCCCGCTGTGCATTGCGGGCCAGCAATTAAGCTTTATTTCTGGCCTAATGGACTGAGCGCCGCCTGCACTGATTGCGCGCATTTGTTTGTGTAGTAGTAGTAGTAGTTGTTGTTGTTGTTATTGTAGTATACGACTATGTGTGTTGGTCCGAAATGTCGTTTCGCTGTACGCCGTCTGCGCCCAATCAAATGTGTAGCCCCACGCCTTGGGCACAGCACGATATTAACGCCCAACTGTGAGGCGGCGCATTTACAATGATAATATTTGTGTCCGAAATTATCAATGAGCTGACGCGCTCTGCCCCTTTGAACGTATGTACAAATAGTATGTGTGGCAGTGTGTATGGAGCATCAGATTTACGCCTTCCAGAAATTTAAAAACACATATAAAGCCAGCCATGAAAAATTATAAACTTTTATTTACAAACCTATTCCTTGCTAAATTATTGCGTCCTACGAGTATTTTACAAACATCAGTCTTAAGATGACGTTCTTCCATTCAAATTTGTTAGTTTTCAAATGGGAATGAAATAAATTCGAATAAGTTCATCAACATGTTTTACAATTTTTCACTAACACATATTTCGGTTGAAAAAATAATGTAAAAAACATAATCAGGGCTTTAATGCTAGTATATAGTATAGAAGACATGTTCATACGCTTTTCACTTTTCAACAACAAATACCTTTAGAATCTATTTCAATGTGTAAATATATACTAATATAAACCATTCTCGAAAACTGTTTCCTTTAAGGTGTGAGGCTCTGTTATGTTTGTACAACACTCGAATAAAGTGAAATGGTCTATTAAGCTGCCATAATGTTTAGCAAAATGGGGCAGCTTTTCATTCAAGTTAAAATGCGCAATGACTTCATATTGATCATAAACGCAAGCGAATTGGAGATCCGCCTATTTAGCTGGTGTGTATGCCTAGGAAGGAGCAGCAGCACTTGCCCATTGCATTCATTCCTAGAGACTGGTAGACGACACGGCGAAGCAAACTCAATGGAAAAGCAATTCAAATTACGGCGAATAAATTGAGGTAATTAGGTAATAAAAATAATGTTTTCACCTCGTCAATCTTTCTGAGAAGAAAACCACCAACAGCAACCACCTGAACTGAGGCTTATTGCAAAGCAAGCAGACGGAAAGTGGAAACTTTCTTATGCACACTTACTCGTACACAAGTTGAAATACAGACGCACATTTTCAAGGAAAGTATCTTTTATGTGTAGCAAGTAGCAAGCAGTCGACCGCTCGGCATCCTCTGTCGTCAACACATTTTATGCAAATGATTAACTTTCCATAGAATTTTCAAGTCAATTAAATTTTTCATTTCCACACTTTGTTCGCACTTCGACGCCCTCAAACTTTTATGCAGCTGAGTTTTTTATGGTCAACTCTGCTGTTTTTATTGCTTTCAAAATGTGCGCGTAATTACAATTTGACTTGTGCTTCAATGTGAATTCAAATGCCTCCTGCCTTTGCTCTCGCATAATATTCATTGTAATTGGCCCATTTTTGAGCCATGTGCTGTTTAATGAGACACCCGCAACAACAGCCACAAATAACCACATCAATAAAAACATTTAATGCTCTTTGGTCGACGCTGTAATACCCTTTGTGGTGCTAATTTCTGTGACCGAGGGCACCAATCAAAATAAAGGATATATTCAAGAAAAAATTCAACATTTAAAGAGTAAGCCATTCATACGTACACGTATATATGTATGTATAATGGTGACTATATTACCATGAGGACCACAATTATAATAACAATAAAGAATACCTTTTACGAGTATGTTACGAGCTTGAGAAACAAAATTGTGAAAAGCAACCTATTTCCATAGGACTATCAATGAACAATACTTCTTGAGTGAAATTATTGTATCCATTATATCTACTTGACGAGCCCAAATGGATCTTCGTTTATAGAGTAGTATGGCATAGCGTTTCACCTTTCTTGGAGTATTAATTTTTTGGTTAGCTGCAAAAATTCCTGGAAACGAAATGTGTAGAATGCAATTAAACAAAATAGCGTGAGATACGCAGGCGATATGCGGAGCACAACATTGTCGTGGTGGCTGGCAGCCATTACCAGGCAGCCACTGGCTGAGGAAACCTAATTTCCAAGTTTAGAATTCTGCGAAAATGTCGCTAGGTAATCGGCCGGAGGGAGCTGGAAATGCAGTAGCAGAGACAGAAG